TCTATCTATCTATCTATCTATCTATCTATCTATCTATCTATCTATCTATCTATCTATCTATCTATCTATCTATCTATCTATCTATCATCATAACTGAATTAGTTCCATGTGCTGCAACAGAAACCATAATAGATTAGTTTCTGGGAGCAATTCAATTCTTTACCTTTATAGTTTCATTCTTTATTTTTGTACGGTGACCTTGAGTGTCCAGTCTTTGAAATAAAATGTATTATTATTATTATTATTTTTACTTAAACTTATAATTCAATGTTTCACTTTTAACTTTACCTTCTTGGAGATATAATTACAGTGGTAAGTATATCTATTACAGGGGTCTGCAACCTAGTTAGTAGCCTAATTTGAAATTTATAATCTCTACAATCACAATATTAATGTACTAAAATATATAATAATAATAAAGGCATCGAATAGCCTTGTTATTAATCCAGTCTTGCGAAAAAAAAAAAATGTTCGGAGTGAGACCTCAGTATTTGCGATATCTATCTTGAAATCAGCGCGCCGGCTGCCCCGCCACTTCGAGCGGAGGCGTGGCTTTCCGCTCTCTCATTCCCAAGGAAACTGAAGACGCTACGCTGTTGATTGGCTGGAGCTCCGTGACGAACGTCTCCAACTCGCGTTCCAATTGGCTGGAATGATCCAGCTGCCTCAGAGCGCCAGAAAGCAAGCTTTAGCGGGTGTTGGTGAACTGAAGTTTCCCCAGGACAGTACATGGTGTCCGCCCGCTGGATGACACGCATAGGACGTACTTTAGCGGTCCAGAGTTGCCCGCTATTTTTATAGAGGGAAAAGAAGCGGCTATGTTCGGCTGGAGACGCTAAACCGATGACAGGACCGTGAACCACATCGGAATATTTCATTCATTTCAACGGTCACTCATAGAAGGTGAATAATTTTGCTTTTCTTCCAATTGTTTCTTAAGATCCGTGTAACGCTATGCTGTTCCACTGACCTCTCCCCTCAGACAAGTAGCGGATTAAGAATATAATAAATGTTAAATGATCGATGTGTCATAATATAATGCATTGTATGGCTAATTAAGAGCTGATGCAGCTTTAGGCAAATCGAACTGACCTTTCAGCCTGTTAAGGTTATAGATAAAATATACGTTTCAACTTGGATAAAACTTTGATTTATTACAGGGCTATAAAGCATACATTTTCCATCTTGCAGCACAGGTTATAACCCAGTAGGTTAAATGTAAAATATGTTAGTAAAGGAGCGAATTAGCTCGTGGTTAGCCTGCTAGTTACCAGATGTTTGCGCCAAATTCCTCTGAATGGTCTAAAACTTTAAAAGATACTCTTCCGCGTTTGTTTCTTTTTTCACCAAACCACTGTGCCCTGATTAGGAAATACTATAAAATAAATTCGGCTTGTAGTTTGTGTAAGTTTGTAAAATACAAAGTTTTAAAAAGTCGTACTTCTGGTTTCAGTGCAGTTGTGTTGATGACATCACAGGATGATGCTCTCTTTGCTTAGATTTTATTTATTTTTCTCAGCTGAAATGAATGGATTCTAGTTTACAAAAGAGAAAACAGTTGGATTTGCAACATGTGGGACTGACAGCTAAATTTGGGATTTATTGCATATTAAATCTGCTACTATCCAATGCAACTAACATGCATATGAAATGAGGTTAGAGTTGCAGCATGTTGCAACATACCTTTTTAAGGTTTGACATTCATTCATGCTTTCATTGTGAAAAGTAAAGATCCAAAATCTGCTTTTTTATTTGTTATATTTAGTTGATTTTACGGGGTATGCTTTAGATAAATTCTTATGTCCAGTAAGTTTTTATTAAAAAAGTATAGAAAGAAAAACCAACAAACATACTATAGCATGTTGTGTATGTAATAAGCTATATTTAAATTGAGATTTAGTTCATCTGCTGAGATTTTGGTGATTAAACGTTACTTTTTTGCAGGTTACTAATGGAGGTGGAATGCCTGGCATTGAAAGACCTCACAAGTCTGGAAAAAAGTTTCTCAAAGGAGCCGGAAGAAGACGGAGCTCACAGCGAACAAAAGGTGGAGTTGCATAGGATTTTTTTAATAGCATAAATTGACAATCTTGCATCCAAAAGTGTGTTTGATTAGACATTTTATTTCCATTTTAACTACTTTATAGTCTGAATCAGCATTTTTCTTTGTCTATCACAGGAAAATGTCTGTCTGGAAAGGAGGAAACCAACAGACTCCAGCGTTCCAGTTTTCCTTGTGAACAGGAGGAGCTCCGCCTCCGATTTTGCCCACGTCACTCCCATCAAGTCAGCGCTCCTGGCCGAGCCGTGGTCGCCCACGGCCAACCTGAAGGTGCTCATCAGCGCGGCCAGCCCAGACATCAGAGACAGGGAGATGAAGAAAGTGCTGTTCAGACCTATAGAGAACGACAAAGACAAGGCGGAGGGCTCACAAGCTCCGCAGGAGGATGTAGAAACAGAGGACTCTGCTCAGGTAAAACTTCTTGCTTTAATGCTTTATTAACATGTTATATAAACTTAAAAAACTTAAACTTGCTTTCCCTTGTTTAGTGTGACGCGGCTTTTGAAGAGGAAGATGCGGATAAGAAGCCGAGCAGGAAGGAGAAGAGCCTGGGTTTACTTTGCCAGAAGTTCCTGGCCCTTTACCCTGATTACCCACCAGCTCACAGCACCATTTGGATCTCACTGGACGAGGTCGCAACTAATCTGGGTAAATACAAAAAAAAAAGTATCAGAAGAGCAGCTTTAGCTTTTTAAACCAGACTCAGTTTAATTTATTTTGTTTTGCCTGTCAGGAGTGGAGCGTCGGCGTATCTACGACATCGTCAACGTGCTGGAGTCTCTGAGCATCGTTGGCCGGAACGCCAAGAATAGCTACACCTGGTACGGCCGCCAGCGGCTGGATGCCACGCTGCAGGAGCTGCAGCGGAGGGGCCGGGAGCAGGGTTACCACCTTCAGATGGATCTGCGGGCCGAGGCCAGGAGGACCGAGCACAGCCGGGAGGAAGACGGAGGGGAGGGAGACTCAGGGAACGGTAAAAAAAAAAAAAAAAATTCTACCTTTTTCTGATAACCAAGCAGTTCTGGTACCTAATTACTTAAATATGCTCGTTTTGCAGCTGGGGGAAACAGGAAGGATAAATCTCTGCGCATCATGAGCCAGAAGTTCGTCATGCTTTTCCTGGTGTCCAAAACTCAAACCGTAACTTTGGACGCGGCAGCAAAGGTCCTCATCGAGGAGGGCCGGGACTCCTCGAGCCACAGCAAATACAAAAGTAAGAGCCAGCAGATTTATACACAGAAGATGCTGCAGCTCCAGGTTTATGGGGGGAATTTTATTCCATTATCTGGAAAAGAACGGGTTTTTTTAAAGGAAACATGAGAAAAATGGAATTCAGAAATGAAAATTTGCGGTAATTTGAGTCTTTTCTCAAAATCTTTTAGATTTATTTTTCATATTTTGCATTATTTTTATTATATTTTTTGTTTAAAATTTCAGTTTTTAAGATTAAGTTTTAGGAAACCTGTTCTCTTCAAGTTGCGTTTTGCAGATCAGATTCTCTTGTGGGTGGGCTTTACTCTGGAGGGAGGGGTGAGGACTCATTTCTATTGGTCTGCTGGACATTAGTGACATTTTCATTGGTCAAGAGGGAGTGCTAAAACAAAAAAAACTAAAATTGGAAAAGAATGAAATTTATAAATGTATTAAAATGAGACTTGAAATTGTAATAAAATCTTTTGAGAAAATAAAAGAACAAAAAAACCATTTGAAAAAATAAAATATGGAAAACAATTCAAAGTAAACAGAAACGCTCCTTGCAAAGAATTTTCTTTAAAAAATGTCCATTTACTACATTTGTTAATTGCTTGCCACAATAATTGAACAATATTCCCTCTTTTCAATTTCTATTATGCAGCTTTTTATTTTTTTGTTTTTTAACCCATTTATTGGTCTGTTTAGCAAAGGTACGCCGCCTGTATGACATCGCCAACGTGCTGACCAGCCTGGAGCTCATCAGGAAGGTTCATGTGAAAGAAGAGAGAGCCAGGAAGCCGGCCTTCAAGTGGCTGGGCCCTGTGAAATTCAGCAGCCCTGGAAGTTTAGGTAAGAACAGAAGAGCAGCTCAGAAAAAAAGCTTGGGAAAAAAAGTTTAAGTCGCTTATTTTAAACTTGATAAGTCAAAAGATCTACAACTGATACTGCTATACTGACACTTTCCTTAAAAGCTTTAAATCGATGTTTGAAGAAGTCTGCGGTTCCTTCAGGTTTTGAGAGAGAGCAAGGTTAAACAGAGCTAACAGGAAGGCTCAATAAAAAAATACAGCAGTCTCTCTCTCCCTTTTTTAACCTTCAACCTCTTTCTGTCCTGGAGCATGATGGACATAGATCTAACATGGCTCAACATTTCAAAGGAAACGCAAACAAAACGACATGTTTCAGTGACGCTAACTGCGCTAAACACTAACATGTTTGCAGCAAAGCTTACATTCTGTGATTCAAATATTCTTCCAATTAAAGCTTAATCAAATAAAGTGCATCTCAAAAACTCTGCCTCATTAAAAAATTTTTGCAGGAAGTGCTTCAGATGGCGTTAGAATTGACGGCGCGGTGAACGAGGACTTCAGGAAAGCAAAGATGGCGAGTCATTCCTCCTTTAGCATCACACCAACGACGGTTAGCGTGCAGCGGCAGGTTAGCTCTGCACCCAGCAGCCCGCGACGCCACCTACCAGGTAGGAATCTGGAGTTGATGTTGGCTTTTAGTGCTGTTGATAGTTCAGTCCGGCCGATAAAACGTCCTATTTTGCACACAGCAGGCATCCAGAATCAGCCTTTGGATTACACAAGAAAGACCGTGAGCGACGGCCCGGCGTGTGGAAGCAGCATGGAGTGAGTTTGCAATGTTTTTCATTGAACCAGCTGAAAACAGCAATTCAAAGAGAAAATCCTAACTGTGTTTTGTTTCCGTTCAGCGGATGTCTCAGCGTGCCGCTGTACACCCACCTCCCTCCGAGCAGCAGTGGCCCCCTGCCCCACCTCACCCCCTCCCCGCACTGCCTGGCCTACCTGCCCAGCCTCTCCCAGCCGTCCGTCGTCATGCTCTACAAGGCGCCAGCGCAGCAGGAATATTCACCTGGAGGTCAGAGGTCAGCCAGATTGGCTTCAGAGGAAGAGGCGAAACGGAAAAGGGAGGAAAGTGAATGGGAAGAGGAGGCGATGGTGCTAAAGAAAAGGAAATCCGGTGCAGAGGAGTCTGAAAAGGTAAATTTACGTTTATATCAAGGCTTCTGCTTTTTGTCAGCTTTTAAATCTAAAAAAAACATCAGAGTTTTGGGCTAAAAATCCCGGTTTTTGTTCCCGTTCCAGATTGGAGCTCAGTCTGAAAGAGAAGCAGCAGACTTTGCTGCATCATTATGCCACGCTGTCCAGCAGGGGGCCATAGAGAGCCACTCCCAGCCGTCACACTACCTCTATGTCCCCAACAGTGCAGGTTTGTGCTTTAAGCATGAAAACAAACAGAAAAATAAAATAAGATATAAACAACTTTCCTCTTGTTTCCTCTTAAGGTTTGAACAACTTTAACTTCCTCATCCCGGCCGGACAGCCACCAGCCGGCATGTCCCTCCCCCCCGGCGGCGTCCCCACCATGGCCCTGCCCTACGTCCTGTTGCCATCTGTCTCCCACTACCCCCTAATCGCCGGCAGCGTACAGCAGCAGCAGCAAACCTCTGACAATCTGAGCTTCACCATGTCCACTATGATGTCACCAGCTGCCTTTATGGTGGGGGCGGCGCCTCGCGGAGTAACAGAGGCATCAGAAACACACCTCCTATCACCAGTCGCCCCCGACCAGGGCAGGCCCCTCCTGTCAGCAGGGACACCTCGTTCTCCTTCAGGACCCAGAGAGAACGTCAGTGTTTACACACCAGAACCCTCAGTAAGGACCCACTGCCTCTCTTTCTTTCTATATTGACTTACCCCATATAATGAGGCTGCCACCGCCGTGCTTCACTGTTAGAATAGTGCATTTCTAGGGTTAATCGTCTTTTTTTTCTGCTCTTTCTTCACAGACGCCACATACTCCTAAGGAAACCACATCTTCCTCTTCCAAAGCCTTCTTCCAGACGCCGGGGACTCTGGGAAGTGTAGTTAGGACGGCGCCAGCTGCTCGAAAAAGAGGCTCCGCCCAGAGGAGACTGGACATCGGCCACGCTGCTGCTCCCTGATGAGAAGCAGAGTTAAAATAAGATGATCCTTATTTTAAAAGAAAAATGTTTGTTTTTATTTTACCACTCTGAAGACGTTTCTGTTAGCAGATCGAATGTGCCTTGTTAATCTCCACGACCATTTCACCATAAATTCGTCAACCAGTGTTGCCAATTTACCAGTGCCCTCTTGTGGTGAGAGCCAGTAGCTGCCATATATATATATATATATATATATATATTTTTTTTTTCTTTTTTTATTGAAATTTTAGCCTTAATTTTCCCTCCCAGATGTGATCGAGCTACCTAATTCCTGTTATTTTATGTATTAAAGCTCAATTACGGTACTATTTATATTTTAGCTAATATATGTCAATTACAGGAGCTGTGGTGGGACATTTAGCTTTCTTGTAGCACTAAACATCATTGTACAAAAAAAAGTGATCTTTCTGGTGCTCTTACTTGTTTTGTTACGTCATGAAAGTGTGATAGGATAGTAGGAGAGAGGGTTAAAAAAATCACTAAAGCCTTAAAATGTTTACAACCCTTCAAGTATCTGAACAGTCGGTTTTCCTCTTCAGGAGGAAGATGTTACTTATTTTATGTCCAAGGCTGCAGGGTAAAACCACAGCACTGATACTGAGGTGTCAAATGATGACGCTTTAAGGTACTTGAATACTAGAATGGAATTAAATCTATTTATATCAGAGTACTGTAAAAGTTTTTTTGTTGTTTTTTTTACCTGTGCTGGATGGAATCAGCTGAGATGAGGACGTCTTCTTTGCTCAGGTTTATCTGGAGAACAATTCCGCTCTCAGAAATCTGCTTTTTCCTGCCGGCTTACTGACCAGTAGTGTCATGCGTAGTTTTTTTTTTTTTTTTTTTTCGTTTACAGGTTTACATCACATTCTAGAAATCCTTGGTTGCCATTTAAAAGTGTTCCTGTGTCTTGCTTCTCTCTGTAGACCCGCTGTTTCGTTCATAATTTTCATTTGAATAAAATTCTTTTTTTTAATGTGTGTTTGTTTTTTTGGGAGGGGATTCTAATACCCTGCCAACACATCTCTGGAGCCATTTATAAAATATAGAGTAAAAAACTGGACCATTCTGGGAGAAAACCTGGAGTCTGCAAAAGACCAGAGACTGGGATGGAGAATTATCTTCCAACAAGAAAATGACCAAAAAAACAAAGCAAAATCTACAATAGAACAGTTTACAGATTAACATATTCAGGTGTTAGAATGGCCCAGTCCAGACCTGAATTTAAACAAGAATCGGTTTGAAGAACTGAAATCTGCTTTTTACAAACGCTCTCCATCCATCCTCACTGAGTTCCAGCTGTTTGCAGGAAGAATGGGCAAAAATTATAGTCGATGTGCAAAACTGATAGAGACATGCACCCTGTGACTTGCAGCTGTTATCGCAGCAAAAGGTAACACTGCAACACATTAACTCAAGGTAGTTAAATAAAGTTCTACACCCAATTTTTTTAGTTAATTCAAATATGCCATATTGGAGTACATTCTACTCCATGATTGTTGATTCTTCACAAAGAATTACAATTTTATATCTTTAAGTTTGAATCCAGAGCAGTGGGTAGCACTGTTGCCTTGCAGCAGGAAGGTTCTGGGTTTGATTCCCGGCCTGAGGTCCCTCTGCATGGAGTTTGCATGTTCTCCCTGTGTGTGCGTGGGTTTTCTCCGGGTACTCTGGCTCAGTCTAAAACCATGACTGGTAGGTTAATTGGTTTCTCTAAATTCTCCTTAGGTGTGAGTGTGTGTTTGTCTCTGTGTTGCCATGTGATAGACTGGCAACCCTTCACCTATCCTGCCCCTTGCCCATAGACAGCTGAAGAGAGGCACCAGCAACCCTTGTAACCCTGGCAGACATGAGTGTGTCAGTAAATGGATGGCTGGATGAAAAAATTATTTCAATTCCAGCAATCCATTTCAACATCGGACCAGATAAAAAAAAAAGAAAGAAAATTCAAAATGTTAGGAATCTATATCAAATCAATTCTGGGTATAGTGAAGCACATAAATCGCTCCTCAAGCCATTCAAAATTCACAAATATAAAACAAAACTAATTCTAGGCCTGACATAAAAGGGAGTATTAATGTACTTAAGAATGTTAATATAATGCTAGTATCAACATGTTGCATAGGGAAAAAAGTTAGCACTGTTGCCTTACAGCAAGAAGGTTCCAGGTTTGAATCCCCTATAGAAGGGATAAAAATCACCACCCAGTTGTAGTACCTCAATGGACCCACTAGGGGTCACAACTCCACCGTCGAAGACCACTATTTTAGACAAGAAAAACTTTTTAAATTGTTACATTTAAAGTATATTTATAATTTGGGGATTTTATTCTCTATAAGTATTATTTGCAAACGATATAACGTTAAAACCATAAATATAGATATACAATGTGCATTAACGTATTTCAACAAGCTATATTAAAAAATATGATAAAAAGAAAAAGCAGGAAGGTTAAAAAAAACAATTAAGTTATTTCACAATATCAAATAAGGTGCAGGTCCTTTCTAATAGGGATGCTCACGTTCAGTCTTCAAGGGCTACTATCCTGCAACTTTTTGAAGCTCACCATATTAAACACACCTGAATCAAATGAGGCCTGTTACCATGCCTACCATGCTGAGATACATAAGGGGATTGGGCCTTCAGATCCAGGTGTGCTGGGTGAGACAAGATGGAGAGGGGCGTGGCCCGAGAAGGAGAGCCAATGGAGAGATGGTGTTTGAGTCGTTTATAAAAAACATTTCGATTTTTATTATTATTATTTTTTTTTGCCTTAAGGCAAGTCAGGTAAACCATGACGAGGAAGGCTGTACAACAGTTTCAAATGGGAAAGAGAGAGATCGAGGAAAATAAAGGAGAGAAAGGGGGTTTGAGAATCAAAAAAATAAATAAACGGAAATTAGAAGAAAAAAAAAAGCAGCCCAGATGAAGAAACAGTTGTGCAACGGAAGGTTTTTCAGAGAAGAAATAAAAATATGTAGATTCAGTGCTAAAGATAAAGTCATTTGAGCCTCGTTTTGATTTCCAGAGAATAAAATATTAAATTGGACTATTAGTGAAGGAGTTGAGAGAAGGAAACTTGTTAGTAATTTGCAATAATGAGGAACAAAAAAACATTTTGGATGTTGAGGACCTAGGAAAAAGAGAGGTCATTGATATAAAAGTCATAGGAGAGAATAAAACTGTGAAAAGAGTAATGAAAGGAATACCAATAAATGAGGATTTGGATCAGGTAAACTGTATGAAAACATACAAGGGGAAGGGGTGGCAAGCATGTCACTTCTGATAGAGTTTAGAGTCAGTTCTACCAGAAAGGGTCAACATATATTTCATGAGTTTCCCAGTTAGGTCGTTCATTCCACCTCCACTCAGGTGCTAGGTGTCAGAGCTATGGACATATGGCAGCAGTTTGTAGAGGAAAGCAAAGATGTTCAAAATGAGGAGAAGAACACAGAACCGAGGATTCAGGGAAGAAACTGAAGAAAGGTGCTGCAACTGTAGAGGCCAGCACAGAGTTATCTATGGGTGATGCGAGGTGAGAAAGAAAGCAGTGGAAATAAAACAACAAAAAATATAAGCTATGCAGAAAGAGTGAAGAGAGTTTAAGGACATAGGACAGGAGAAATTAGAAATAAAAGTTAAAGCAAAATAAAGAAGAAAGTGAAGATAATTTCACTTCAATGGTAGAGAAACTAATTCTATTCATAGCGTATCTCATTAACTGCACAGACCAAGCCATGCATAAGATCAGCGCCAGAGGAGCTGAAAGTTTTTAAGACTTAGTTGGAAAAACAAAGTTACAAGGTTGGAGATGTAGGGAAGAACAGGAGCATCTGGAACACAAAAGTTTAGGATATCATTAATAATAAACAGTTATTAGATTAGATAAAGATAGATGATATTGGGTTTAATATATTATAGATGTAAAGTAAAATAAATTCATTGGTTAATATCCTGTCAGTTTGTTCCACAATCCATGCCACTAGGTGGCGGTAATGCACTTTCAAATTGTCTGCCAGCCGCCGTTAAACTTCACAAAAAAGAGAATATTCAGGCGTTATAGATTAAATGTACCAAATATTATCAACAGTGAAACAAAATAAAGAACATATTTTGAAAATCAGTTAGATATAAGGTATACTAATGTATTTAAAAAAGCAATCTGGATATTAGTATCCAGTTTAGCAGAAATAAAACCTTATATGTCTGAGTATGTAAAAAGTGAAAAAAAAGACATAAATAATTTTTTGTTGAATTGGCAAAATGCAAATTAATCATCAATGTTTATCTTAAATCTTTTGAGTATTTCTTTAACAGGAAATATTGTATTGCTCTGGTAAATATTCCTTTATTTTATTTTTTTTAATGTTTTTTTTTGATCCTCCATTTGTTTTCAATCCAAAACTTTATTTAAACGTTGCAGATTACAAAACATTGACAAAAAATATCACAAGATATAGAACAGTATCTCCAAAATAAGTGTTCAATGATGGAGTACAATTGTGATTAAGATATAATATACTTTAACTTAAATAGATAGAGAATTAAACAAAAAACAAAAACAGGAAAGATATATTACATTTCTCCAAATATTTCCTGAATTACGTTAACAGTGTGTATACATTTTTTATTGTTGATTCTTTGCATACAATTGAAGAATTTTTTTTTTTTTAATCATTTTCAAACACAGGGAAAAGGGTCGACCTCTGGAAAAATTGGTTTTGTGTATTTGGAATTTTGCAATTAGAATAATCAAGTTAACCAAGAGTTGCATTTTCCTATCATTATTTGTATAGTGTAAGATAATATCTTTGGCTTGTAATTTAATTGGTGTGTTGGAGTGCGATATGAAGTAAACCTCAACTTCTTTCCAGAATACCTGTTAAAATTTACATTAAAAAAAATAGGTGCTTAATTGTTAATATTCCTTTATTTTGTGTTTACTGTCTGCACACGATATCATGTTTCCGCTTTCTACGTCAGCTCTGACGTCTTCGTCTCTTAGGCTCCTCCTCCCGGTGAAACTGCAGATATGTGGAATATGTGGCATTTAGTCTGGAAGCGTCTGGATTGAAGGTTACAGCAGATTTCAGCACAAGGACTGCTCCTCTATCGGTCCGTAAGTTTGTTACTTTAATTTGACTTTACTAACTTCTTGAAATACAAACTTATTCTTGTGAAAATAAGACAATGTTTTAAAATAAAAACAGCATTTAAAACAAGGAGCTTAATGTGATGCTTTCAAACGTTTCCTCTCTTAAAGTTATAGATAATAATGTTTCAACAAGAAGTTTCCAACCTGTTTCCAGTAATCTTGACCAACCTGTTTTATTTAAATAAAAAACTTATTTATATTGGTTTCAATTAAAGGTACACCTTCTTGTTAAGGGAAAAGGGAGTTTTAAATAACTTTTTTTTTGTTTTTATTCGTGTATAAATCAAAACATACTTTACAAAATATTGCAGGGTTACAAAAACTTTGAAATAACTTCTTAAAACCCACCTTATTTAAAGTAATCCTGGCCTGTTTTGCATACCCAAATGGAAAAGCAAATAACTGATTAACTGTAAGCCCAAAGCACAGGTGTGATACATCATTTAACAGCTTTAAAACACCTTCTAGTTTCTGAAATATGAAAATAGTGTGACTAAAACTCAAAGTTGTTTTTATTCTTCTAAAAAATAATAGATGTTTTTTGGACAGCAGTAACAAAGGCATGCCTAAGAATAAATGGCATGTGTCATTTTATTACATTTATTCTGCATCATCTCAACCACAACTGAGAACAAGCTAAAAAAGGATTCCATTTACAAGGACAATAGTACCGCACTTCAGAACATCTAAAATAAAATTAAGACATGTTGAGAATATTTCTTCTTGCAGATTTAAGCAGACTCCGTGAGGATTATTACACTTTGAAACTATTCAACAAATTATCAAAACAAAGGAGAGAGATTTTTTAAAGCCTGCAAATAAAAATATTTACCTTGTCAGATATTTGATTACTGTCAACATGCCGCACAATGTGATTATTGAAAACAGTGGAATATTTGTCATTTGCAGAGATTAAAAGTCTTTGACGTCGCTGCAGAATTTACTTAAGAAAGGAGATTAAAAATTAGGTTTTAAAGGGGATTCAAATGGAAAATGACAGAAGTTACACCCAGCAGTTTTAAATAACCTTATTACACATCCTAGGGGGAAAAACAAACAAACATGGGATTAGATTAGAGTTATATGTTCAGGGTCAACTAAATAATCACTACTATTTTTATTTTAGCAGGAGAAAATCCAACCATTGCTATCGATTTTTTTATACAGTAACTATAATTTCTCATTATTTTCAAATTAAATGGTCATGCATATATATTTGTCTGTTTTTCCTTTCCTTTCATAAACAGGCTTCTCTGACTCAAACAGGTGTAGATAAAAATAAGAAATAACCCGGAAAATGTTCTCCTTTCAGGCATAAAAGTAACAAAATATATTGTCTGGTCTGATATTTTTTCAAAAAATATATTAATCATTTTCAAATCTGGATATATGTGCAAACCAATACTGTGATTTTGGGTTTCTAATTTAAAAACAAGCTGACTTGGGGATGTAATCTGAAACTTTTCACTTTAAATTTGGGAGGTTTATTCTGAATAATAGGAAGCAGCTCTGTAGTCTTTATCTCCTTTCTAATAAAAAAGGGTTTTACTTTGAAATCTAAAGTAATGAAACCCTAGCATTCTGGTATCAGACCTGTAGATGTTTGAAAGCGTCGGCTACCATCTTGGCCTCCCTTTCTAACCTGCTGCTGTTCCTGCACTGATCCCGGTGCTGCAGCCTCAGGCATGGCGCCCTGCAAACATTCCTCCGGGTATTAGTCTGCCCTCCTGTTTGGGTCGAGCTTGTTTGCACAGCTTTGTTTTTGTTTTCTCTCTGTGTGGCAGATGTGGCTATGATTAACGGTTTGTGCTTCAGCCCCGTGGATTGTTGGTGTTGTAACTGCACGCTTTATGAGGGGAGGGGGAGAAAAGAAAAGTATCAGGTTGTAAACATTTCAGTGTCTGAATGCAGAGTCCTTTTTGTTGCAGGGCATTCATAGACATAGAAACAATGCCAAACTGGGGAGGAGGAAACAAGTGCTCAGCGTGCAGCGGGACGGTGTACCATGCAGAGGAGGTGCAGTGTGACGGGAAGAGTTTCCACAAATGCTGTTTCCTCTGCAGTAAGTACAGATTACATCCTGGAAGAAAACTCTATGCTCCATTGATCACAAAGCTGCACTAAGAGGCTTATCTGCCCAAAAACTTGTGAAAAAAAAACATTTTTTTTCTTTATTTAGTTCTTTTATTGAGTCACAGGTTAATTCAAGCATAAATGTTGAACTGAAGGACGTCTCGGTGGATGGTAGAGTTGGATCAGGAGGCGGTCGTCGTTATGGAAATCCATTAACTGCTTACATTTGTTTATCTGGGTTATGGGACGTGATGCATCTGACTGGTTCCAGCTTCACGGCCATGAAAGGTCATGGGAGCTGATCTCGCTTTCACCTCTTCATCAAAGAGGGGAATTTTTATTCACCACGCTCAGGTTACAGACTTCCTGGTGCCTTTTGTTGAACGGCTCTCATCACATTTATCTGTAGAGAAGCATAAAAACCTAAAACCTCCTCAATAAGTTTTCATTTCTAAGCTTATCTTAGAATAGTTTTTTTTCTGAACTTATGTGTTTATGTGAGGTGAGTAAAAGGTCTATGGAGGTCTTTGTTCCTTAGTTGGAGATTGCTTCATGAATGACATCGTTATTTGTCCAGATAAAGCTCACTGTGGATGAGGGGCCCTCATATGACTCTCTGTTCTCATTCGTTCTCTGGTTGTTTATTGCCCAAAGTCCTGAACATAAAACTGATGATATAACTGCACTAGACGGAAAGAGGAAAATGTATAGATTTTTATGTTAGTAGGAGATCTGAAGGGGATTTATCCACTTTCATTTAGAGGTATACGGTCCTAAAAATTTCAATTAAACAAAATGTTTTTACAAAAACCCCTTTGAAATCATAATGCAGCCCTTTCTGTTGGTCTTTGTATGGAAGACCATTTTTACCGTTTCCTCCACACACAAAAAATGGCACATCATGTCATTATTTTGACTCATAATTAGGAAATATAAAGTCATTATAGTGAGATACTGTAAATAATCAGTTTGTTAGATTTTCATTGTTTCTTATGCCTGAATTTTGTTGCCCTTTATATTAAGATTACCTCAAAGAGGGGATGATGAAATCAAAGCTAGATTTTGAAAACAATATTTCTCATGTATTGTTTTTATTATAAAATTTAAGTTGATTTTATAGGGAAAAAGTTGGAGTTTCCTTTCTTTCTAAGCCATATTGCCCAGCCCTAATACAAAGTGATAATTATATCTAAAGTTATGTTTATAAGATATGAATTATCCCATAAGTGTGACTTTGAAAGGTCAAATTATAACTTTTTCTATCTCAAAAGTATGAGTTTAAATCTTACAAGTCTCATAATTATGACTTTGAAAGTTTAAATTATGACTTGGTATTTAATAATTAGGCCTTTCAGTCTTATAATTATGACATTACATGTGCCAACTTTTTTTTTTTTTTACTATCAAGTGGCAGAAATGGGTCTCTGTATGTCACCTCTTAAAACACAATAAAATGTGGCATTAATGGTTTAAGATGACAAAATTAGAATAGATTCATGATTAGGAAAACTTTTGAATGTTCATCGCAGAGCTTCAAATATAAATGCTAATACCATAAGCTTCATTGTTTCTGCTTAGAAGTTTGTCTTGCTAACACTCTGCTAATGTCTGTGTGAGCACAGTGGTCTGCAGGAAGGGTTTAGACAGCACCACAGTGGCCATCCACGACCAGGAGATCTACTGCAAGTCATGCTACGGGAAGAAATACGGACCTAAAGGCTATGGCTACGGGCAGGGAGCGGGGACGCTAAACATGGACCGCGGCGAGCGGCTGGGAATCAAACCAGAGGAGTAAGTTGGCAGTTCCTTTATTTTGGTCTTAGGGTTTCTGATAGTTCTTCATGAGGTTAAAAACGTCATTTTTTTATTATTAAATGCATCAAAAGCAAAAACTCATAGTATCAACATTCTATAAATACAGCATTATTGTCGATGTATTTGGATACTTCTTTTTAATTTAATTGAATTCCGGCACCGTTTTCTTATGGGTTTCATTCTTTAGAATAAAACTCCAAATCATAAAAAAAAGAGCAGTTAATTTTCCTTCTGAAACGCTTTTTTGTTGCATTTTTCAACTGCAGCAGCAACTTTTCCACTCCGATTTCCTCCAGTTTTGTGTTCTGCACAACATAGGAAACATTTCCATAAATGTCGGCTCGCGGGACATGATTGGACCATCGCTGCTGTGAGGTCCCCATGCTTTGCGGCTCATCATGTGTAACGATGCTGATTAGATGTGGCTGCTGACAGAGAGTTCACGCCACTGGGTCTAAAGTTCTGCTCTGAAACAAACCAACCCTCCCACTGAAGCAGTTATTATGGCTGAATAAACTATTTCCAACCCTCTTACTGCTCGATGATGGGATATAGAAACAAGTTTGAGTGAATCGGTTCTGCTAAGGTAGCTGAAGGAGACACTTTTGCTCCTTCTCTTCAAAATTACAGCCTGTCAGCTGAAAGGGAGGCTGGAAAAATGAGTTTACTTTATTTTTTTACGTAAAGCATAAACCCACTCACCCAGCGGGTCACCCCATCCCAGCTATCAGGTGATTCATTGTATAATCCTGCTGCTCCTTGGAGTTCCTTAGAGAGGTTCTGCTTCAATATGTTTTAATAACATGTTTCAACCCCCCTGTTGCTTTAAGGACTCACACCCACAGACCTACAACCAACCCAAACCCGTCCAAATTCGCCCAGAAGTTTGGAGGCTCCGACAAGTGTGCGAGATGCGGAGACTCCGTCTACGCGGCGGAGAAGATCATGGGAGCAGGCAAGGTGAGGAACATGTTCCTCCTGATGAAGCTTTTATTTTGGAGGATCTAAGGTGAGGATGATCCTGGAGTTTTTTCCGGAAGGTCCGGTCTTTTCATTTTATAATCACAACAGCAGCCTGCGTAAAGCCTTGTGACGTCCTCGTGAGGCTCTGCCGATTCAGAGGAGGTCACAGGGAGGACATTATTCACTTTCAGCTGTACAGGAAGTGGACAAACGTTTGATAACACGCTCAAATGATAATTGTCAGGAAAGGATTTTATTTTATTTTTTTTTTATTTAAACAGAGGAAAATGCTAAAAGCTCAGATTTATCCCCCATGGTGTGATCAGAAGCAGAGCTGTTCATGGTTTTCCAGCCTTCCAGTCGGTGGTGAAATCCTAACCTGTAATTTCCACAGTAAATGAAGACGTAGAGAAGAGCCCCGGGGCTGCTGGGAGATTTCCTTTCATGGCTTTTAATGAAGGAGTTTAGAGTGTTTGACGACATCTGGAGTTTATTCAAATAACTTACAAATCTCCCTTTTTCTAACATGGAAAAAAAAACTCAATGCATTCATTGTTTTATTTTTCAGGTGATTTTTAAGATGGAAAAAAAGTTGTGATTGTGAAATGGAAAGATGTGTTTTTTCTTAAATCTGAGAAGTGCGGCATGCCTGCATGTTCAAAACCGCAGAACAAGGCTTGGATTTTTTTGTAAGTGAGTGAGAACCATGGTGACTTCAGCAGGAAGTCATGGATGGTTCTTGGTTTCCTCCATAACATCCTAATAGACTGAAGTTTGGTTGTGATCTGACAAAATAAAGCCTTCTAGTGGTATAAATGCTGTTTCTGTACACTCTTACAGTTAGTTTGTTATTTTTCTGATTTGAATGAGGCATAACTAAATCAGACTGCTTTGTCTCACAGCCGTGGCACAAGAACTGTTTCCGCTGCGCAAAATGTGGTAAAAGCCTGGAGTCGACGACTCAGACGGAGAAGGACGGCGAAATTTACTGCAAAGGTACGATGGAACTGTAAACATTTGAAAATTTAATGTGTTCACAGTAAAACAACTTAGTAAAGAAACTGATTTTCGACTCAGAACGTATTTCTTTTAAACAGCAGTCAGGATGCGTCTCCATCGTAATGCCTTAAGGCTTCTCAGAGCATTCTTATCTAACAAAACTGATTATAATCCAGTTTGCTAAGAAGAAAAACATGTTCCACTATCTGTAGACTCCGCCCACTAAAACGCTCTGATTCAGGTACAAACCTCAGAGATGGCAGCTGTTGCTCTTTGTCATGTCAGACAAGGATTCTTTCTTTTTCACTGGATTACATCAGATCTGTGCTGTATAGAAACCTCTGCCATTCCACCTCCACAATGGTTCCCCTCTCTCAGCTCCCCACAATGACTCATAATGCTTAAGTTAAACACACAGGAATCTCTCTGCTGCTTTACGTCAGATTGCCTGCCGTCCTCTTAGATATATCTGTCGTCTCCTTGTTCTAACGTAGAATAGTTTAAAACATGAGCATTACACAAAGCTCTCTGTTCACTCCATCCATGTTAACATTCTTTATTCTTCTCTGCAGCTTGTTACGCCAAGAACTTTGGGCCTAAAGGCTTCGGTTACGGCCAGGGAGCCGGCGCTCTGGTCCACGCTCAGTGATGATCCATCTCCTGCTGGAAGATTTCTGCCTGCGCCTCCGTTCAGAAAGTGGGCTTAACTTATTTGTAATACAGGTTTCAGAACAGCTGATAAGTCGCACAATTGCAGAGAGTTCATTTCATTTGTACCTTTACTTGTGACAGTTTAAAGACAATAAAAGCTGATAAAAAAATCTAAATATATTAAAAACTAGAAAGTAGAAAGATTTACTAATTTCATAGTATCTGCATTATGTGTGTAGGTGTGACTCAGCATGTTCAAAAAGGACACAGCAAATGTAGTTGAAATGTGAAAAGCAGGTTAGTTATGCAAGTTAGATATGTTTTACCTTTACTAAATTAATTACAGAGCATTTACTGGCTTTGTAAAACAAATGCAACGACATGAAAGGGAGACATTTTTCTGTCTCTAAAGCTCTTAAAACTGCTTTACAAGCTGATTTATGGGGGAAATGTTGTTCCATTATTGTTGCAGAGAATGTTTTGTAAAATAAACTGCAGTATAGAAATTAAACCTTTAGTTGTTTACTCTATTTTTTTTTTATTTACAGCTTTAATATAAAAAAAAATTGGTTTTAGGAATTGCTTTCCTTTAAAATGACATTTTCCTGATCGTTCTCTTCACTTAAGGGGGCGGGGTTTCCTCTGGAATGAGGAGGGAAAACATTTCTATTGGTCTGCTGAGCATTAGCAACCTTTTTATTGGTCAGGACCAAGCATTTGGATTATGTGCGATCTATACAGTGCAATTGGAATCGAAATGTTTACAAAACATTTTTGAAAATGTGATCTATAAAATTATTTTTTTTAAATTCAAATTTTGAAAAGGATTTTGAGAAAAACAAATCAAATCCAAATTCTTTTTATTTTATGTTCTTGGTTTTTTTTTTTGTTTGTTTTTTTTTTTTTTTTTTTATGGAATAAAAGTTACTCCATAAACTTTTTAGAAAACTGAAAAAAAAGAGGTTCTAAAAGATTTGAAATCCAGTCACTGGACCATAATGGAGGCAAGATGGATGCTTTTTTTTCTTTTTGTTGTTAGAACAAAATATTGACAGTTTTCAATAAAACAAAAAAACAATGAAAGGACTATTATATTTAGTGCGGGATATGACTGATAATCCAGGATTTAAACAAATATGCTGCAGGTAGAAGTATGAACTCACTACAGTTAAGCCTGATTATATTTCTGCCTGATAAATGACTGCAGCTACAACCGTCCCACTAAACAGTCCAAATAAAAATAATCCACCTCTGTATAAAAACAAAGTGTGCTGATGTCATCACTATGCAGGCTGAAATTAAGCGCTGCTTTGAAAATGGAAAACCAGTGAGTCCTCCTACAGATCAGGGTAAATTAACCCAATTTGTTTCTAGCTTCCTGAAACCAAAAACCCAGAACATTTAGCTGTTTTCTCCCATATCCTGCTTTCTGAAACATCTCCTTTAGGTTCTTCAAATCTGAAGTGTGTCATAAATAAAAACATTAACCAAACGCTGACGTTTGACTGTATTTTATTAATAAAGCCATTAAAACTGAACCATGCCCGTATGTTTACATCTGAAGCGGAGTTACAGTGGGATCTGAAGGTGGGCAGAGAGGCACTGGAGATGATTATGTGCTTTATCATTTGACTTTTTTTTTTCTCTATTATCCCACATGGTGAAGCGATGGAGGGGGTGGAGAGTAGACGTCTGCAGCCGCTGGAAGAACTAGTGACGTGAGATGGGTTTTTGAAAAGTGGTGACCTCTGCCAGCATTCACTGATGCCCACTCAGTTAAAAAAAGAAAAAAAAGGCATTGTAAGATACGAGTCCTGTGTGAACTGCTGCAGGGCGTTGATGGTTAGTACGTGGCGATGCAAACGTTCCGTAGAATATAACCTCTCTCGATCCTTAAAACTATCGCATGAGCACATTTCCGCTTTTAGAAAAACAAAACAAGAAAAGGTTTTTCTGCTTTACAATTTTTACATCCAGTGGTATAACAAAACCCAGCAATGTAGGACGTTAAAAAAAAAGAAAAAAAATTTGATTATGACACATTCAAATATATTACACAGCTGTTTGGGATGGAGAAACCTCACTAAACACTCAGGATCTGAAAGAAAAACTGGATGAACATGATGCAGAAACATTTGCAAATACTTAACATTCACTATTTACAGACATGTGGCTTTGCTGGGCTGTCACCATGGTGACCACTATGAAGTGGAGAGGGAGTGGTCGCTGTCCTAGGCGTCATACATGCAGTGGAGAGATTCCAGGTACTATAGACAGCAGCGTCGGACATCACTAAAAGCTACAGTCATACAACATGGATTATAGTAATCTGACTCTCCTTTATGTTTACGTCAACAAGAGCAAAAGAAATGTAAAAACTTAAACCCCCAGGAGCACCTTCAACTAACACTGACATAAAGAAGAAAACAGTTTATGTACAAATGCACATTCTTTACATCTGAGTCCGTCCTGGTGCTGCGGCGGCGGCGCGGGGTCCAGAGTTTTCTGAGGCGACAATGGAAGTGTCGCCGCGCAGCTGCTGGACCTCCTGTTCAGTTACGGCCAAATAAAATATATATTTATATATATATATATTCATAGAACTAAACACGATCAGTGCAACGTTGTAGGCAGACGAGAGACAAAACGAATAAGACTTTACAGCTTTAAAAGAGAAATGTCTGGAATGAGGCTTTCCTGTAAACTTTTCTTTCCTTCTATTTTGCTTAATAAATACACTCACTGTACCTGTCTGTAGTTTTCTACATAGTTATCCACTTTTATTTCAACTAACTGTTTAAAATTCTCTCCTCCTTGATACGTAAAAAAAAAAAAAAAAAATTCTACAAAGCTAAAATGATGTGAAATGTATAAATGATGGCGCTAGAACATAGTTATTTTATCTATAAATAATTTTAAAATAAATAGAGCTGTATCACATTGTCTGGAGGATATCTGCCATGTTCAGCATGGTCACTGCTGAGGGAGTCCCAGTTCTGCTTCCAGCTTCTTTTAGAAGAGGGGTTGGAGAAAAGAGAGAGAAAATAAAAGTGGGATTCCTCCAACAGTTCTGCAAGTCCTCGTCGGCTCAATTCATAACAGCACGGTGCAAAAAAACAACAAAAACAAAAGACTTTAAAAGACATTCCCCTTTTTTCCACTCTAGAAGTCCCAAATTCACGATTTACTTTCCTGAAATGCTTCCTTGCAAAAAAAATGTATCATTAGTTAAACCAAAAAAGAAAAACAAAAGGGTGAGCTTTCGTTTAAAATTTCTTTTCTGCTCGTCTCTCTCTCCTCCGCTTGTGTTTGGCAGCGATACACCGTCCAAAAGGCCAAGGAGGGAGGAGATGGGGCGGTAGTAGCAGTGAAAAAGGGCAGGGATGATGATGATGTCTCATAACTGCATGCTTCCCTTAATTCTTCCCCCCCTTAAAGTCTTTTATTCTGCAAAGGAGAGATGGTCCAGAAAAAAAACAGGAAAAAATCGTTGCAGAGAACAGCATCGCGTAAGATACGAACACCATGGAGGGGGGAGGGGAGGGGTTAATACTTCCAAAAGCTTTGTTTCCCACTCTTTGCTGCCCCTCCCTCTTTTTCCTCTTCATCCATCGCTTCCTATCTCTACACCAGCTGGTAGCCTGAGCCGGACGTCTGGTCGTAGTCTATTGTGTACTGCGTGGTCCAGTCCACAGTCACAGGCCTGATCAGGCCACAGCAGCGGATCTCAAAGAAATCTATGAGATTTCTGATGCAGCCGTGGCTAAATGGGGGAAAACAGAACAATTAAATATCCTTGTTAGCTTTAGAAGATTGGATCACCCAACATCTAACAAAAACTGAATTGGCATCAATAACGAGATTAAAATAAAATTGGGCCAACAACAAAGCCTTGTGGCACACCTTTTTTTTGAAATTGTATCTAATTCAGGGGATGAATGAAAACAGAATAAATCTCACTTGAAGGGGCTTTCGATGGACGTGGCCGTCACTTTAAAGTGCTTGTATCTGCGAGCGTTCATCCGCTCATTTGTGGTGATTCCAAGAGCTGCGATCTGCAAGCCGGGAACAAAAGTAAACCCACCATTAGAGACACTTCAGACACGACGGCCTGCTTTCATCTACACTGAAGCTGTACCTGGTAGAGCTGACACATGATGAGCACGGCCACCCACATGAAGTGGAAAATGCTGTTGACGAACATCCAGAAGATCCAGGGGGAGCATGAGGCAATCTGGGTCAGGTAGAGCCAGAAACCATCCTTGGCATAACTGGTGGCACAGTGCACCCTCCAGTCTGGTGGAGAGGACCAGACAGACAGGAGTTAAGGGCTTTAATAACATCAGGGATTTGGAATATTGGGAAAGACATAAATACTAAAAACTTACAGGAGATGCAGCCATAAATCATCCAGCAGATCATACAGAGCAGAAAGAAGAGATAGCCCATGAAGTAGCGGTGATTCCCGCTTCCTGTAAAGTGGAAAAGATTATTTAGATTAATTAAAATACTGTTTAGATTTAGTATACCATAAAAAAAGGCTTGTTAAGAGAAATAAACTGTGGATAATAGGTGCAGGTAGGTGTTTTTACTGAGGTAATATTTGACAATGAAATACAGGAAGTTTATTTATTTGATCTGAAGCATCGCTTTAAAACAGATAACAGATCAAAATCACAGAGATCAAAGAAGCTGCAGTTTGTTCAGACAGTTTCCTCACTTTAAAAGCATCATCCTGACCACGTTATTTGAAAAACAACTTCTTCCTTCCACTGTGGTTTCCTGTCTTTTTTTACAGACAATAATGAATCAGGTTTGCTTGTTTTTTTTCTCCATTCTCTCAAAAGCCCTCCTGCGGTGACACTTAGATAAACTCCATTACTGTGGCCCAATTTTGACTGTTATTAAACCTGTGTGTTTAATAACAGGTGAATTCTGATGCTTACCCACACAGTTCCCCACCCAGGGACAGTGGTGGTCAAACTTTGCGATGCAGCGGTTGCACACGGCACAGTGTTTGGACCGGATGGGCTTCCGTATCTGGAAGAGGAAGAAAAAAAAAAAAAATAGACATGGAAGATCTCGGCTTTCTTTTCCTCTAAACTGCATAGATTTGAAGCGTTAAAAGGAGGAGTTTACCAAGCAGGTGCTGCAGAATATGCTTAAATCCAAGCTGCCTGTTTCGGCTAACTCCACAATTGTCTAAAAAAAAAGAAAGAAAAACATAAAAA